TAGCGAACATTGTGGTTGTACGGCAGTGAAGCATCAGTGCCAAAACTGATGATGCTGCTGCTGCTGATGATGATGAAGAAGATGATGATGATCACGAATCCCACATGGGCCGAAATACATTCGGGTAACGGAAAAGTGCAACTTTCGAAACTGTTGGTGATCATGGTTTTACAAGAGCTGTTGGAAATAACGAATAACTAAAAGGCGGCAACAAGGGCTCGATCCTTGGCCGAAAGCTGACTAGCCGGGGGAACCCCTTGGAATAACCCCATATTTGCTGCAGGTGAGTGAATCAGTGCAGAGTGCATTTTCTGTTGACCGATATTTATCCGACACATCAGTTGATAAAGCTGTCTGTCATAGAAATTGACCAAAGATGCAAATCTGTTGGGAACAATGTACTTGGCTCTTTGGTACAAGGTGAATCTGGAAGAACTTGGAAGGTTTATGGATACGAACCCTGTGATCGCCCTCGGTCAAATATATAAGGCTACCGCAATAGCGTGGCCTCTAACTCCCTCTTTGGGGGGAAAACTAATATGGTCTATTCAGGTCGAATCCCATTTGATCCCATGCGAGTGTTCATTACTGTTTAATCGTTTGACAAGCTCGTATAATTCATCTTTTTCAGTGGAACATGAATCTGGCGGTTTCAAAAAACGGGAGCCCTCTTATTCCAGCTCCGTATCCGAGATGGAACCAGCATATGAACTGTTGGAAGAAAGACCCACAATAGTGTCAGCGCATGAAAGGGACAGGTCGTTGAAATCGAGTCACAGTAAGCGTTTACTTCATCAGGTTTGGTTTTCGATACATTGTGGTGAGTGTCATACGGAAACCATTCTTTGCCAGACAGAGACTTCCAGGTTTTGGCGGAGCTTAGGTACCTCTTCCTACTCAGTGATCTCCTATGCTTCAGAAGCATGTAAGAGTCCTTCAGAAATTTCAGTAAAATCCAGTTAGTCTGTACTCAATTGGTGTAGCCCTGTTGTACACTTTGAATAGAGAATGATGTCTCTCTGCGTCAGTCCAATACATGCACTAGTCCACTGTCATCGTTTGGTACGGAGAACCTTCCCTCGTCGGAATGCTTGTCCTTCCTCTGAATCATTTTTTGGGCTAATTTAACCAAGAAGCAGTATGGGAGTGGACATTTTTTCCATTCAGATCTCGCACCCCTTCGGTGGCTAGCTGCCATGCCACCTTGAACGAGGGTTGAGATACTGCCAGGTCGCCCAAGCCTGGACAAGGGAAGTCGAGAGGCAGAGGTGGGGTTCGAACCACGGACCTTCCGGTCAGTAAATTCGCGCTCTAACCACTTCGGCCATCTCCTCCCATGGGAGTGGACATACGGGGTGTTAACCCAATCCACACCATCTGCCAAGAAATATGCGCATCGCAAAGTGGCCCTCAAGCTACTACCAGTGAAAGGAAGAAGGCCCTCACTGCAGAGTTATTTATTAGAAAATGCCAAGTGAACAGTTACAGACTATTGGATAGGGAAGCAAAACTCTCATAAGCATCTTGTTTACAATAACTGATTATCCATCTTCTCTTTGAACGCGCCTTTCTGAACTTTCCTGGATATTCATTGACTGTTGCTCCAAACCAAGCAAATGCTACAAAGCGACTCCACAAATTCCGCAATAGATATCACTTTTCAAGAGACGCGAAGCAGATTTACGAGAAAACATACTACTCGCATGCCTCCCCCATCAGTAGTAAGACAGTGACGCCAGAATCTTTATTCTTCAAAGATAACCTCAGCCGTGAAATGATGTGCAACCCCGAAGAAGCCTGCGAATGCAAACTCACACACTGCCTAGAAGAGATTAGTTTGAAGCATAAAGGGATCGTGATATATATATACTACACTACTCATAGGGTTGCTGAAAATTCCTCGACAGCTCACGACCGGTTTCGCCCTCCTCGGGGCTCATCAGGTAGGCGCAGTCCTCGAGTTTTCTTCAACCTTATTTTTCACTTGAAACCAAATTGCACGAAGTTAGCGAGATACACTTTTTTGCAGACAAATCTGGTTTCACCAGAGACTCACCTGGAACCCAGCTGAATCTCTCGTTTACGATGTTTCCAGGTAACTGAATGTGCTGCACCAGGCCGCCTCATACTTCTGCTGATAGGGTATTTGAGATATCGCGATAGACTGTAGGACGATTCAACAAATGAAGCCTGAAACGAGCAAAATTCCCTACTTGATGAGTCCAAAGGAGGGCGAAACCGGTCTTTGGCTGTCGAACTTTCAGCAACCCTATGAGTAGTGCATTACGCATATACATTTATCGCGATGTCTTGAATATCACACCAACTGAAACATGAGACGGCCTGGTTCAGCACATTCAGTTGCTCGGAAACATTATAAGAACGGATCGATTCAAAGTGATGAAATATATCCTGTCTTCGACTCGACCCTCAGAGTGGTAGTAAACACAAATGCTTATATAAGTTTTCTCACGATGCTTTCTTCTCTTTTATTTAAATATCGAGACTTTCTACTTGTCTAACCCTAATCACCACGTTTTCCACCATCTCAAATAGGCTTCATGATATAGTGATGTACTTTTTTGCAAGTTGAGTTTTCTCGGTTAGGTTCAACCTTTGTGCACGCTTGACGTACCAAGAACTGTTGGGTTCGACTGAACTTGAGTACAGGCTGTTTGTTGTTGTCAGTTGACACTTTATGGTCTCGTCCATATCCAGATTTCGACCTTCCGACTTTATCTCTCCTCTATCATTCCAAATCCAGCAGCGTCTGGAACTACTCCGAGGCTATCCGACTGTTATGAAGAGATTGGGCCTTACAGAAGGGGGGTAACGGTTTAAGTACTTCAGTGACCCAGTGAGCTACACTGAGGGTATCCTTGCGGGGTATCACTCACGGTCTTTCATACCTAGGTAGGCTATGTGTCTGATCAACACAGTTTCCTAGAGCTCCAAGTTGGTGGTTGCAACATGTGCGGCGACTTGTTCTGTAGAAATTGTGGTGCATCTACGCTTCCCACCAGATATCGCTACCTTGTGGTCAGCTCTTTAAGCCAATGGTTTTGGTTCAGGACTCTAATCATCCTCCTGTCTAGGTGTGGGCACACTGACAATATCCCAGCTCACGTACAAACATGAATTGCACACTTCGCGCAGTTTGAACAATCATGTTATGCTGCCGATGATTATGAAGATGCCACAATCCAACAAAAATCCATACAGGCACGTCACTATTGGTGTGCATTTCCGAGAGCTTTGCAAGATGCTCCCGGAATTCGAACATATATCGAACGGTCTAGTTTATGGCTTAGTGGTTAGAGCGCGAATTTACTGACCGGAAGGCCCGTGGTTCGAATCCGACCTCCACCACTCGACTTCCCCTGTCTAGGCTTGGGCGACCTGGCAGTATCCCAGCCCTCGTGCTTCCTTCGGATGGCATGGCAGCCAAGCACTGAAGTGATGTTACCGCTGAACGATTACTTCTCTATTTGACTGGGTCACTCAAGGCCTGTACTGAAAACCTCTACCTTGAGGCGTCTTGAAGATCAAAATATCATGTCCACCACGGTTCAGTCGATCGCGCATTCTAGCAGTTGAGATCATAGCACAGTGACCCGATCTCCCTGTATTAGCAGTTGTGAAAGTCACATTACCCCACCTGTTCTGAAGTTGTTCACAGTACCGCTAGGCTGAGTCCACGGGCAATCGCCGTGGAATTATCATAAACAGTGAGACGATATTACACATGCTTTAGCGATGAGTTTCATTTTCTACTCATCCTCGAAGGACAACGAATACAACAAAGACAATTCGACAATACAGGTGGATAAGCTCTGCTTCACCAGTTAGGTGTCCCGCTATGTCATGGACTCAACGGAAGAAACCTTAGGAGGTGTGACCAAGAGGAAAACAAAATCGTGATGTGGAGCAAACAGGTAGAGTGTGAAGTATGGCTGTTTTTGTATGTTTCAAGTTTTGAAACTCAAAAGGACAAGTCATTTTGACAATGAATTAGTCAAATAAGCAACGTGATTAGGGGGAGATTTAGGAATTTGCCCGTCTCACAAAGTCCCGGACAGATTATAACCTGTGGCCTGCGATTAAAAAACTCGATGTACAGTGTCTCATAATAAACGAAAAAAATAATACCCCATGTTAAAACTTTAACATTAATTTAAACATTTATCATTTTTTATTTGGACATACACGCATAATGGAGGTTTACTGTTAACAAACTGGCATTACAAAAGATGTTGAAAAAAACCGCCCTTTTCTTCTATAACAAGTTAGAGGTGGTATGAGATGTGTGACACAGCATGTTTAGATTCTTCAAGCGTCACACGTGTACACTGCTCTTCAATTCTAGCTCCACCAAATTCTTCGGTTTATTTTCATGACATACGCGAGCCTTGATCATTCTCCAAAACCAATAATTCAGAGGTATGAGATCGGGTGACCTTGCGGGCCAAAAGTTTGGAAATCCACGAGCAACGACTCTCTCATCAGAAAATTGCTCTCGGGGGTAAGTTCTCACTTGGTGTGAGTAGTGGGGTGGAGCGCCATCTTGTTGTTCAGATGAAGGTGGCATCGCAGAACACGATGCACGCTGGCGCGGGGAATGCCGGTCAACTAAGTTACCTGAGTTATTGACGAAGATGCCATGGTGGTCTGGGATTTGAAGTTGCTCGACGATATTCTGTAAAATGGGTGCTCTTTCACATCCCTTTGCTTTGCCAGGAAAGTCCAATACATATCCAGTGGACTCAAATTTCGCAATCAAGCGTGTAATGGTCGACACGGCGAGAGGGTCTTTGATGAGACCATGTTTGGTTTTGTAACCACGAAGTGCAGCAATGGCGCTTTCACCAGAGGAATAATAGGGTTTCACAATTTCAATGCGCGTACTGACATCCATCGAAGACAAAAAAATGCCAACACTTGCACAAAAAACCTCTTTTGTGTAAGCATAATGACAAAAGATATAGTTATCCTTTCCCTGACTGATTACGTTTCCCTAATCAAAGTTTGCGTCTTATGAGACACCCTGTATGTCAATAGTTCAGTAGAACACTTCAAGCAAATTTCATAAAAAATATCAATTTTAAAAGGCCTACGTGCACCTTTGGCGAAAAGGGCACCTATTACAAATGTGATTCAGCCAATGTTTTAGGACTTAAACAGGTCAGGAGTGTGAGCCTTTTGATGTGATTCCCTTGATTGGGTCAATTCCAGCGAGCACCCACTTGGCTGAACACACTACTCATAAAGTTGCTGAAAGCTCCATTGGTTTTGTCCTTAATGAGGTTCATCAAATGGGTTCATTCCTGGAGTTTCCTCCAACCTTCTTCTTGAACATCAACATATAAGATCCTGACGAAACACACTCAGCTGAGTCGCTCTTTAATGCAGGTGTAATTTGGGAAACAGTGTCATCTTCCTTGCTATGTCTTTGAGGATGTCCGTCTGGCTGTAAAGTTATCATATAGCTTCACCAGAAGTAGTGCACCCCACCAGGATAGGTCTCATGAAACCCAAAAGCCCAGCCAACTCAGCTCGAAGCTGACCGAGATACCTGAACATTAGAGGTGAGATGGTGAGCTTTGAAATGACCGAAAGTTTAGGAGCTTGCTTTCCATTCTGGCACCTAAACTTTGCGAATCAAGAGACAACCTTTAATAGGCTGCATTCCAACCAAAGAAAAAGGTGTGTAATGAGAAGGTCCTCTTCTGTTCTAACAGGTGGATATACATCGCCAATGCGGACTTTTGGCATCGAGCAAGGAGACGAGCGGAAGCCAGCTGCCTCACTTGTGCATTTCTACCGTTCGCCTAGCGTTCGATCTCCTCATCACAGCCTCGATCTCTCTCAGCATGAAGCACCGTATCATCGAGGTTCAGAAATCTCCCCAAGTAAAGAGAAACCCCAGGTGGCAAGGAAAGCAAGGCCGCGACCACCAAGAAGACGAGGTATGTTGCAAAGCAAATGAATGACTTTTCATGAAGGAAACTACTCACAAGGTTGCTGAAAACTCTTCGATAGCCCATGACCGGTTTCGCCCTTCTTGGGGTTCATCAGATAGGCGCAGTCCCCGAGTTTCCGTCAACCTTATGATCTACTTGAATCCAAATTGGACTGTCTTCGATAAATACACTCATTTGCAAACCAATTCGGTTTTCACGAGAAACTCAACTGAATCTCTCATTTATGATGTTCTACAACTGAATGTGCTACACACAGGCCGCCTCACGATTCATTTGACATGATATTCGAGATAACGCGGTATATTTTCATAATGAGAACTGCTCATAAGGTTGCTGAAAACTCTTTGACACATGGCTAACGGAAACTCGGGGACTGCACCTACCTGATGAGCCCCAAGAAGGGCGAAACCGGTCTTGGGCTGTCGAGGATTTTTCAGCAACCTTGTGAGTAGTTACCTTTACGAATAAATTACTCTTCTAGATTTGATTAATACGTTCAGCTGCACACCGCTTTCGTTTTTCACAGTAGAATCACCTGAATTCCAGTTGAATTTCTCCTTGATCATGTTATTCTCAGGGATCAGCCCCGAGAAGGACAAACCCTTTAGTGGGCCGTCAAGGAGTTTTAAGGAGCCTCATGAGTAGTTTGTTGTAATAGTTGTTTGTAGTATTCTTGATTTGGCGTGAAGAGATTCTGAAATAAGACGAGTTGCTACATAGAACTTCTTCCTACCGCCATGAATGACGGGAGACTACCAGAAGTGAATTTGCCTGACGGTCAAAAGGTTGGAGAAGGAAATCATCTCCGTTGCACCAACCGAAGAAGCCCGTGTGCAGTACAGTTGAAGGACATCACAAACGACAGATTCACTTGAGTCTCCCGTGAAAATCAAATTGACTTGCAAATGAGTGTATTTGTCCCATGTCTCGATAGGACTTTTGAAATGATTCCAGGTCAAAATAACGTGATCCACATGTCATAGTAAGGCAGACTAAGTGGTGTGTAACTCTCAGTGCACGCTTCATCTGTGCACGTTTCTTTGAGTCCCAATCTTTTCAAGCCGCTGGCACGCTTAAATAGCAGACGAGAGGAGACTGCACTGGTCAGTCTGACAAGTAACTAGCTGGCACCGCTGGTTGCCCACCATCGACTGACCAATAGGCGGTGCGAACGTGGTGGGGGACCTAGAGCAATGTCTGCATAGCTAGGTCCTGCTTTGGTTAGTGAGAGGGAATCGGCAGCACCGGTCAGTTGCATAGCTTCTCATCGAACATGAGACCGAACAGTGTATCACCCAGTAAACCAATAAACCAACTGCATTCGATCTATATGAATTTGCCCATTCTACATTTGCCGTTTGTTCTCTACCACCAAGCACACCACAAGTGGTTTTCATCAAACACAACTCCTCAACATTGATTTGCCCCCCCCCCCGGCGATATCAGTTCCGCTTCTTGAGGGCAATTTGGATAGGACAGATTGGCGCCAAATTAGGGAATCCTCAATACAAAACATTTCAGCATCCAGGAAACGCGGACGCACGCATGGTTGAATAACCGAGGGTAGATTTTTGCTTGTTTCACCTGTGTGGAGTAAATGTGGTCAACCGGCCTATGTGTTGCGACCGATCTTAAAGTGAGGGCAACAGGGGCGTAACGTGAAAGAACAGCTTGAAGATGCGTACGCTCTGTTTATTGATTCGCAAAAATACACATCGCACATTAGCGAAGTACACTCATTTGCAAACAAATTTGGTTTCACGGGAGACTGAACTTGAACTAAGCTGAACCCCTCGTTCGTGATCTTTCCAGGCAACTGAATGTGTTGCACCAGGCCACTCCATGTTTCAGTTGGTACGATAATCGAGATATCTCGACAGATGTATATTTGTAATGCACTACTCATGGAGTTGATAAAAATTCGTCGACAGCCCACGACCGGTTTCGCCCTTCTTGAGGGTCATCAGGTAGCCGCAGTCCCCGAGTTTCCGTCATTCTTAAAAAA